ATTGAATAAATCAATAAAAAGTGTTTTGTCCTCCTACCTTGACAAATATACCTTCATAATTACCTGGAAGTCCTGGTTCAAATATAAAAGTTTTGGATCCTTGGAATTTCATACTGGAACATGGCAAGGTAAGGAAAACAAACTTCCAGTCTCTGGCCCAAAGCCTGCAGCTTCCTCTTTCTCTTCCCATCCCCAGCTTCATCCCACAGCACAATACATGTGGACAAGCCAGCCCGCACATCCGAGCTGCTTACACATCCTACCAACAGCAGTACCTTGGCCATCTCTTAGAAAAAGATAATCAAATGCAGCAAAATGTTAACGATTAGTGAATCTTGGTGAAGAGCATACAGGTGTTCATAGTATTATTCTTGGCATTTTTCTAAAAGTCTAAAATTTTTCAAAATAAAAATGTAGGGAAAATAAAAATTTTGGTATTAAAATAAAAGTCTCCAAGGAGCAAAGTGTATTTGGCTTGACTACACAGCTTGTAAGTGATAAAGCAAAACTACAGCCGGGCCTTAGACTTCAAATCTAGTGTCCATTCCACACCCTCTGCCACCTCAATGTGGGCACTAAGGATCTATGATTATGTTCTCATTTTGTCCCAGTTTTTGAACAGAAAGATGTGTATGTTCATGAAGATGGAGGGGTCTCAACTTAGAATAAGAAACCATCTAGTAAAAGTCTCTAAAGCCAAAAATGATTGTCCTTTACTACTGGAGGTTGGAAATAAACTTATCTGCAGGTGAGAAACATAAAATAAGGCTTCTAGATAGAACTAACCTATAAAGGAATCTAATTGAGCTTACTCAGTGCCTTTTCTTTGAAATTCAGAGATGACTATTACAAAGGATTATTCTTCCATCACTAATAAATGGCTATGAAAACCATTATATGTAGCCACTGGTTTTGGAGTAGAGGTTATAAATAACAAGAACAACAAATGTATTTTCCCACTCATAAAGCACTACCAAGACCGGAGACTCCCTATCACTTACTTAAAAATGTATACTCTTCCCTCAGTGATAAAGAACATACTCAGCACCCAGATCTTGGTTTCTACATACAATTCTCCACTAAAAGGAACTGGGATTCCTTAGAGACATAGCTGATTCAAGACCTGGGGAATAAAAATGCAAGATGAGCCAGGAGCATCTTGTGGGTCAGAAAGTTAAGGAAGTGCTCCAAAAGGCAAGAGGGTGGGGGCATGTCCGAGGGACACAGGATCGAACCTGAAAGAGCTCTCAATGATCAAAGTTGGCACAATTTGAGCAACCATATAAGTAAAGTAGCATTGTATTATTACCCAAAGCATAAAATAAATATATGTGAATCCATAGTGACATAAATAAATGATTGATTGAATAACTGCATGAATAAGTAGATAAATAAATAGGGGAGAAGAGACGAATCTTTTGCACCCCACCCCCTCACCCCCTGAGTGTGGGCTGGACTTAGTGACTTGATTCCAAACAAAAGAGTACGAAAAGGAACAAATAGTAACTTTATATTGAAGAAACGTAGCAAACCCTTCCTTAACCAAGTGATCATGATTAACAACACCAGTGACAAGTCATTGTGATACCATACACCACCTCATATGATGTGATGAGAAGGACACTGTCTTTGCAGTATTCTTTCTGAAAACCCATAATCGTAGTCTAATCATGAGTAAAAACATCAAACAAACCCAGAATGGAAGATATTACAAAACACGTAACCAGTATTCCTCAAAGCTGTCAAGGTCGTGAGAAACAAGGGAAGACTAAGAAACTGTCACAGACCAGAGGAGACTAAGGAGAGAGAACTAAATGTGATGAGGTATCTTGCTTGGATGGGATACTGGGAGAGAAAAAGGACATTAATGAAAAATTGATGACAGCTGAATAAAGCCTGAAATTAAGTTAATAGTAATGTACCAATCGCGGTTTGTTAGTTTTGACAAATGTACCACCATGGTGTGAGATGATAAAGTAGGCGGAGCTGAAACTGGGTGAGATATATGAGAACTCTCTGTACTATCTTTACAATTTCCTATAAATCTAGAATTATTCCAAAACTCAATTAATTTTTAGAATGTAGAGTTTTAAATGCTTCATATTTATATGTATATATAATATATATGAAAAGTTCACAATTTTCAGTTTCTTACATTGTCACTAAAAACAAGTATTTCTGTCCTTCATTAACATAAAATCTAAAAGTTGTGCCTGATTAGTCAAGCAACTGCTTAATAAATTATGGTATATGCAATCCATGGCTGATGTTTCAAAGTGAAATCACACTTTTAGCACCAATAACTGAGGCATTTGTAAGTGACCTAAATACACTAACAAAAATAGTACTTGACTTAAACTATTTAAACTTTTACACGGTAGCTGTAAACAAATAGGATTTTTGTGTTTGGAGATCTTGCATAATGTCATAAATGTAATATTGTATTTTGCTAATTGAAATTTCATTCTTTCTTTCAACAAAATTGATTCTGGAAACAAGAAAACAATGTGATTTCAACTTTTCCTTAACCCTTGTCAATCAATAAATACCGGAGTTCTAAAACTTGTATAAAATACTCTTTTCCAGTGTCATAAGGGATACAAGAACGTTGGTTAAATATTCTATCAATTATTAAGTGCTCTCTAGTTTTTTACAGTTATTATTTCTAGTATTATAGAATAACTAGTGCATCGTAGTGATTACTCGTTGAGTGTTTCCACTGTTCCAGCACTGTGCCAAGAGCTCTACATCACTGCGTTTACACATACATCAATAGCAACATCCCCTTGAAGTGGATATTAGTCTTATCTCCTTTTTACCACTGTGAAACTGAGGCCTAAAGATGCTAAGTACGTGGCCAAAGTCACACAATGAGTAAGAGGTGGAGTCAAGATCTGAATCCAGATTAGTGGGATTCTACAGCTGGGGTCTTGACTGCCATTTCATACTCTCACCCCTCATGGACAAATGAAGGCAGCTGCTGAAAGATGACAGCACACGGGGCTAGGAGACAAAGGACCTGAGTGCCTCCTTGACACTCTTTTTGTCCCTTTAGAGCCTTGTGCCCATATCTACTGCGGCCCTTACAACATTGGTTTTTGTTTGTTTGTTTGTTTCTTTTAAGTCTGTAAAGGAGACTCATTTTATTCATCTTTTTACACTTCTAAGGTCATGGACATTTCTTGGCATGTAGTTAAAGTTCAATACAAACCCTAGTTAGACAAAGAAACTATTATACATATATAGAGAGATATATATTACACATATATATATGTTGTTATATTAGAAAAATACATGTACAGACTTCTTATAATTCATCTTTTGTCTGTTATCCTCCCCTCATAGGTCAAGGATTGTTCACAGATATCACAGATATCATGGTGATGGTAACTGCTGAAGGAATCCAAGGAAGTTCACCCCAAAATATGGTACCCTGATATTCTGATTATTTTCAATTAAAAGTCCTTAGAGATCAGCAGATGCTGGATGAGGCTATTTTCTGAAGTTCCCTTATCTACCTAGACACTGGACCCTCCAAAGAGGAGCACAATTGCCTTCGATCCCCTCCCTCATATTTCATTAACCAGAGAAGATTAAAACTCATATCACAGAGGAAGAGACTGAAAATTAAGACACCACACCTAAAGCCCAGACAAACTTTGCTCTAAACTATTGTATGTTCACTGGTCCCACTCAATTTCCAAAGAGAATCATTTATTAACCATTGCCTGAGTATTGGGACCATTCATTTCCCCTAAAAATTATTTACCACCATTCAAAATTGCCACATTTTCCCCATCTCCTCTTTCTCTCTGGGAAGGACATATAAACTTCTGGGCCTCACTGGGTTTCTGAGTAGTCACTCTCCCGTGATTTTTTCACATGTACATTAATAAATTTGTATGCCTTTTTATCCCATTAATTTGCCTCAGTTCATTTTCAGCAACACTTCAGAGGAAGGAGGGGAAGCTTTTCCTCTCTGCCCCTACACTGCTTTCTACCTTAGTCCATGCTAATCTCTTAGTACTGAAACTATATCCTTTCAGTTTGGATGTTAGTTCCATTGGGAAGCCTCTCCTGATTGCACAGAACTGGGTCAGATTTTCCTCTTATTGGACTATCAGAGCACTTTGCACTCCGTACATAATTCCCTGTTGACTTTCTGTCTCCCCGACTAGAATGAAAGCTTGTTGAGTCTTAATTACCATGATACTCCCACAACCCTGCACCACACCTAAAATACAGTTATATAATCAATATACTTACCAACATATTCCTGTAGTAAAATTTTAGATTCTAGGACCTTAAGGGTAAATGTTATGGTCTACTACCTAGGAAGAGCATGATGGATGGGCCACAAGCCACTTCTCAGTTTATCTCCTACTCAGATCAGAAGTTGTGGCTTCCCCCGAGACAGATGAGTCAGGATATTTTCATATATGTCAGACAAGGTGTGAGGGTCTTGTGATTGAGATGTTTCATCAGGTACATGGATGGCTAACTGGAGGTGGTCCAGCAGAGGTATCAGGGGTTGTTTCTGCATTGAATGAGAAGTTTTCCATCCCTGGGGTGATTCAGGGACATCCTTGGATAATACGAATCTCAACAGGACTGTAGTCTTGCCTGGTATCCAGTAGCAGACAGAAAAAGTTATGATTTTCTTGAATGGCAGAGGATATAGAGTTATAAAAATATGACAGTTAAAGTCTTGAGAAGCTGTACATATCCAAGATGGCAGAGCAGTACTTAAATAATTCTATTAAGTATTGATTTTCATTCTCTAGATTTCTTCATACTGGGTAACATGCTGTTTGTGTTTTAAGAAAGATCCGTCCGCTTACTTCCCCCTTTCACTTCATTAATGTGACCAGCTATTCTCAGAGAAGCACATTACTGCACTTACTTTGGCCTGGTGTGGTCACACGCTGCTTTGGCGAACTGGGTTGAACTGGCCTGTCTCCAAGGGACTCCTTCTCCTTCAGCTCCTGGAGCAGGCTTCCATGCTGCTGTGGGTGTCCTTGCTGGTCCTCGGTAAGTGGTGGAGAAGTTGCCTCTGCTCGCTGCAGAGCTTGAGCCTGACCATGAGCAAAAGGCCTCTCCTCTGAGATGCTGAAATCATGGATTTTTACTTCCATTTTAGAACAGCAGAAAATGAATAAAGGGGGGATATACTGATATAGCGGTATGAGGAAAAAATAATAGTTAATTTCCAAAGGTGTGTTCCTCATCTACTTTTGCTTTTAATTGCCTATGGAAAATTCCTACAACACCAAAATGAGCTCACTTTTCTTTTTTTTTCCTTTTTATTTATTTATTTTTTTTTGTCTTTTTACATGACCGGCAACGGATCGCAACCCTCGGTGTTGCGCCCGCACCTTGCTCAGCCAGTGAGCGGCCGGTCTGTATGTGGGATCCGAACCCTCGGCGGGAGCGCCGCAGCAGCACACTGTAGCAGTGCACCACCGGGCCGGCCCAAATGAGCTCACTTTTTCATATTAAAAACAACAAAACGAATACTCTGGCTTGATTTAGTTATCTCCTTATATCACAGATCTTGAGGACCCAGAATAAAAGATGAACTGAGTTCCTCATAAAGGACCATATTCTAATCGTCAACTGAGGTAGAAATAAACTTCTGCTGAGAAAAGTTATTTCCCTCTCTGTAGTCTAAGATCAAACCTGCTCTGATCTTTGCTAAGTGCATGTGAAAAGAACAAATGAGATGGTTTCCCTTTTATCTGCCAGCACCCCCCGACCCCCTCCACTGCTTTTGTACTACTTGTCAATATTTGTGAAAAAGAGGCACTGATTTCTTAGTAGCTCAAGAAAGGGAATTAAAGAACAGTCAATCTTTTGTACATTAATATTTATTAAGCATGTTTGTCTTGTTCCCACCTGTATCCCGAAACCCCAACTGGGGAAGGAGTTATGAGCGATTGGCACATCTTAGGAACTCAGTCAATAGTGGTTGGGTGGATACACTCAACACAGCACAGTGCTGGGCACCACAGAGGATGCAGACCTGAAGGACTCGGCCTTGGCCCTCAAGAGCTGCCACTCTGAATAGGATATCAAAGTACAAAGGCAAGAACATTTGACTTGGTAGTATAAGAAAAATATTGCACAATGGGTCATAGGATAATGTGTGATGATAACAAGTAATTCTTGCTCAGCCTTGACTATGTCCCAGACACTCTTCTAAGAATATCCCATGTGTTAATCCATCCAATTCTCTAATAATCTATGAGTTGAAACTCTTATCACTCCCATTTACAAATGAGGAAACTAGGGCACAGAAACTTCAGTGTTGTGCTTAAGATTTATGTATCTAGTACAGTGGCTAATACAGTACAAACCTATAACCTGACTCTAGAAACTATGCTTTTAACCACTACTCCATTCTGTATGTCTATTTCTCCTGGGTCTTAATGCATGAGTGTGACTTGAATTTACTTGGTACTGAAAGAGAAAAAGAATATTCCAAGCAAGAAGGAAGTAGATCCAGGTCTCAGTCATAGCTCAATTTTAAAAAAAATAATGACTGCAACTATTAATTGAGAACTTACTGACTTAAGTAATTACAATAATGCTATGATATTGCTTTTAAGGTCCTCAGTTGTCAAATGAAAAAACCAAGACCTGGAAGTTTATGTGGGTTTTCCAGAATCACACTGCAAAAACTCAAACCAGGCTGTGTGGGTCCACAGCCACTGTATTACCCAGCTTCTCGGGGGTGGGTGCAACTGACTGTGTTTCTCTCCTCTCGGTTGGAAGGAGAGTGTGGTGAATAGGCTCTCAGGGTGAAATGGTTTGGGACTCCATGCTGATGCCTGGTTCTTCACTCTCTTGCAGCTCCAGTCAGTGGACAACTTGGTAAGTCCCCCTTTTCTTTCATGTCTTTAATATCCTTATAACTACCCTCCATCTCAAATACTTGTAAGAAGAGGGCTTGTATATCCCCTTCATCCTTTTCCTGAGGGCTGCAGGGACACGAAAACATTGGTTTGTCTGTTGATTCTGACCCTAAGAATAAGCTATTTGGGGTCACTCTGTTGGACCAAACATGCCATTGTGCTGGTTGACACGGAAGGGTCTGAGTTGTGTGTCAGAGTCCATAGGAGGAAGCAATGCTGCCCCAGTTGATGTAGCACCAAGCCTGATGGAACGCATAGAATCCTGAGAGGGGAGGGACAGAAATAAGCCATTACTTCAAAGGGGGAGACTGCGGCTCCAACCACATTGCCCCTAACCACAAGTAACCAACTTATCCCAGAATTCAGCAACTGTGTAGACACTTTTTTCTGTTAACAGCTCAAGTAGTGATGACTCTGAGCCCCCATCCATCCTACTGGTCAGCAGGAAGTCCAGTGTTCTCCCGGGAGCTGTCTCAGGTGGCAATCCCTGTGAGATTCCTTCAAGTCCAGGAGTGCATCCCAGGAGCTGCTTGCTGTCACCCTGCTTAAGCCAGTGGGAGCCACAGCACCCTTGATGCACACTGTCTCCTGCAGTTCCTGAGTCTGTTGTTCTCCCCTATGGTGCTGTGGACACAGGCACATTTTCCACACATCCCTGCCTAACTGAGACAAGATTGTAACTTGGAAAGACTTTACTAATGGTTGTAGGATGGGGAAATGAAATACAGAGAGTGTCTACATCAGCTACTAGATGTGGTTAATCTCAGAGGCCATCGTCAGTCCTAACCACATGAAGGCTTTGAAAAGATGTGTCTCTTCCTGGCCACAGGGCCACCTGCACATAGCAGAGGTAGCTTGCCCAGACAAAAAAGGAATCTAGCTGCGTACACCAAAGGAAGGAAGTACTCCTTCCCTCCAGTAGAAAACCTACTGCCCAACTCCCCATTTCCCTATCCCCAGGTGCTTCCCAAGAACATAGCTGGTGGGGATTTCAATCACCTTTTAAAGGCCCAAGCTTTCAAATACGATATTCACATTTTCTACCTTGTTAACACTATTGCTATGGGGATCAAGCTTTATGAGTTTGGGGACAACACTCAATCCACAGCACACAGCTTCAGGCATCAGGACTTTGTTCAAGGCAGGAAGTGGTGGGGAGTGGGCAGGTAGAGTAGGGAGCTGGAGCTGTCAAAGAGTTTCCAGCATGCTCCTCTTTTTACAAATAAAGGGAAAAACTTCCCTCAGAATCCCCATTCCCTAGTCTACCCCTAGCTTTATTTCTTTATGTCTCTACCCAGACCCGAATCTCATAGCTGGGGAAGGTAGTACCTCACTTTTTCAAACCTGTTGGTAGGCAACAGTCTAGAGAGAAGGGCATTGGTACTGATTTTCAGGAGCCAAACCAGTGTTTTCTCTATTATTATTTCTCCTTTTTAATTATTAACAGATCTTGCCCTACTACACTCCTCAGTGATTTCATGAGCCGTAGAGCACTGGTTCCACATAACTTTTACCAACTTCATGAATTGCTGCATCTTCAGCAGAATCTGAAATAGCAACCAATTTTCATTCCTGTCCCCACTGGAAGATTAGCCTACCAAAGCACTGATCGTTGAGCAAGCTAGACAGTAGAATCAGATCAGAAGGATGTTTTAGTGGATGTTTCTAATAGTGAATAATTTGTGTTGTAATTACTTTTGTTCTTAGCTTTCACAACCTCAAAACTGGAAAACTCAGAAAATAAACAGTCAGATAAAGAAGAGGCTCAGTAACAGTTTTTTGTTTTTTTTTTTTAAAGATGACTGGTAAGGGGATCTTAACCCTTGACTTGGTGTTGTCAGCACCACGCTCTCCCAAGTGAGCTAACCGGCCATCCCTACATACAGATCTGAACCCGTGGCCTTGGTGTTATCAGCACCACACTCTCCCGAGTGAGCCACAGGCCGGCCCTGAGTAACAGTTTTTTGTTGAGGAAACATAATTAAAACAAAATCTCCCAACCCAGAAATCCTATTCACAAAGGTAGTAGAGAAAGAAAACATTTTTATAATTGAATAAGCATTAAACTGTAATGTGATGCACATCACAGGCAATCCACTAAGAGATTGCAAAGACAGAAAGGAATTTCACCCCTTGATACAGTCAAGCAGGTACAACCCATACATACATGTTTTGAAGATAAACAATATCAGTCCCCAAGTTAAGAAGACCTGACAGCACCTTTTGTCACATGTAGTTCATCTTAACTTTATCAGGGTAATTGGGGAGACCATCTGGGTTAGCTGATTAGCTTTTACCTGGAGGAGGAAAACAACTTCTGTCTCTACAACAGCAGCTGGTTTTGCATATTGGAGCAAGGTGAGCCCACCAAAGTTAGGCTCTTACTCTTCCAAAGGAACTGAGAGACAAAGGAGATACCTCCCAAATGTGCACATATCAAAATGAAGGTTCCCAGGACTTTCTTGAGTTGTGAAACTGGCAAGAGTTATTTAGCCATTATAATGATTTGTATACATTTTAGAAGGATAGAGAAAGAAATTCTGAAAGATAGGAGGAAGAGAGAGAAGTTTCTTGCTTTATTTCTGACAAGAAGAATTAAGCCTCTTATTTTAAATTTGTATTTACCCTACATTCTCCAGCTTCTGTTCATCAATATTTCATAGATCTCAGGACCCAATTTCATGCAAGGTCAATATTTTATTCCCAATAGAGTGTCTTTGAGGTTTGGCGAGCACCCAGCTCCCTGCACTCTTACTCTTTGTAGCTATCTGGATATATTTCTTACTTGAGTTAACACCCTGTCACCTTTCCCATACCAAATTTTTGTCAGTAAAAATACACCTGAGACCCTCTTCCATACCTGCATAATTGATCCACAAATTCCTCTACTCCCTCTATCTACAACCACCCCTCTCACTGTGGCATGCTACATGTAGGGGAAAGAAAAGTAAATTATTTCCTCTACCCATCTTAGGTTCATTGGCTAGGACCTATGAATCAAACTGATTAAAGCCAGATTAACAAGATTAAAAAAAAAAAAACAGTTTTAATTACATACATACACGGGGCGGGGGGGGGGGTTACAAAATAAAAACGTTGTGGCTCAAGGAGGCAGCCAGATTATAGGCTAAATAAAGAAAAAGTATTTAGGATTTCTGGGTGGGGAAGACAAGTGATGGGAAGTTGAACAGGAAAAATATGGCAAACAAGGACAGTTTAGCAAGGTTTGTTATGCAGATAAGTCAAGGCCAGCTCCATTGAAAAGAATTGTTAAGAGTCCTCCTCTTCCTGGTGTGGGAGAGGGAGATACCTTTACAAATGAATATATCCTTTATAAATGAAAATTTCCTTTACAAATAGAAAACTTGCGCCCTGTTTTTAGAGATTTTTCTGCTTCTGGTTGTTCAAAATGGCCTTTAGCTTAAAATAATCCATATATTAAAAAAGGCATATTTGGGGATGGCATATTCTGGTACCCTTCACACTCAAATGCTCATCATGGAGAGGTATCTGTAACGTGAGGAGCCCAGGCGGGAGTCTTAGGAAAAAGGCAATTCCCAATTATCTACCTGAGGACCTGGCCCATCAGAAAGGTAAGAGGACTCATAAGCCTCCTATCACGGATCAATGGTGAGTGGATCCTGCTACGGTTGCCCTATTAAAGGCCAATTTGCTCCTGTAGACCACTGAGCAGCCACTGCACCAGGGAAGAGTGACTACAGCTGGAGGACCTGCAACCTGGGGAAACAGCCACCCTCCCTGGGGCCTCTCAGGGGTTCCAAATGCAGCTCACCCAGTCTATCCCACAATAACCCCTGTGGCTGGGACTGCATGTACCTCCACCTCAGAACCTTTTCTCTTCTCCTCCTCAGCAACTGTACCCAAACCTGTGATTTCCCTCCATCCTCCATGGACCATAGTCTTCCAAGGAGAGAGAGTAAATATAACTTGCGATGGATTTCACTTCTATGCACCAGAGAAAACAAAATGGTACCATCAGTTCCAACGGGTAATGAAAACAAGAGAAACTCCAGGAAATACCCTCGAGGTTTGTGAATCTGGAGAATACAGATGCCAGGCCCAGGGTTCACCTACAAGTAATTCTGTATACTTGATCTTTTCTTCAGGTGAGAAAGAAAGTGAATTACTTAAAACTTTGGAAATGGCTTTGATTCACATTAGCTTGCTGGAGACTATAAGAACTGGGGTCCTTCATTTCTCTCTAACTCTTCTTCAGCTACATTCAGTTTCACTTTCTCCTTTATTGTCTACAAGTGTTTTTCAAATACTATTGAAACGTGAATTTAAATGTTTACCATTAATCAACAAACATACTTGCGCACTTACATATTCAAGGAAATGAGTTAATTTTAGGGGATACAAAAAGAAAACTGTCTGAGATCCTGCCCTGTAGGACTTTATAGCCTCATAAGGGAAAAATTTCACATACGTGAATGTGATGAGCACGAAGCAGAAAGTGAAAAGTGCCATAAAAGGGGTTCACAGGTGGGAAATCTCCAGCCTCAGGACTTTCATTCCTACCTATCCTGGTATTTGTCCCTTCTTCACTCCTACTTTTATCTTTTACTGGCACCAAGCTCCCAAACCTCTTCCTGTCCAGTTTTACCTAATTTAGAGATAGTGATTTGGATCAATTCCACAAGCATCACTCTACAGGAGTAGGCATTCACCACAGTCATCTAGGAGAGAAAGGGTAGCGTTAACCTCAAATTAGAATCTGAACAGCATGAGAATTTTCATAGAGGACCACATTCACTGTCCCTTTTTTACCTAAAAAGAAACTGAGACCAAATACATATAGCAAGGATTTACTGAGCCAATACGATGACTGTAAGTGGGGAGATGCATAGTCAGATTGCCCTGAGAAATGCACTCAAAAAGGGCCAGCAGAGCTTAGCATTTTGTAATCACAAGAAGGGGGAAAGGATCAAAGGAGAGAGAAAAGGACATTCCCACCTAATTATTTCATCAGGTTTTCTATTGGTTGTACATGACATATAGATTTGGCACTGTTACTAAGCTATATCCTGCCTGCAGGTATCTAGGGTAAGGGTTACAAGAAGCATTCCAGGTTATTTTATGGCTGTTTTGTGCCATCCTGTCTCCTTATAAGTAAAAATGGTGTTATGATAACATTTTCCAGGACAGATGGATGTGACTATTGACTTATCTCAAGACACTATAATTTAGCTAACCTGGTCAGAGCAGATATTTTGGTTATCACCTTTAAACCTAGATTTGTGTCTCTGACATTAATCCTGCTGCACACAGCATACTTAAATGCATTGTAATACTTCCTTGTATATTTCTCCAAACACTGCTTCTTTGATAGCTCCTGCTCTGTGATTTGGTGAACAGGTTGGTGTTGATGTTTGCCATATTGTACAATGTCAGGGATTTTGATCTCACCTCCTCTCAGCACATTCTTTCTCCATGTCAGAACCATTATACTGGTATTTTGAATCTGACCTTGAATGATTAAATAGATCTGTTTGGGATTTATTTAGGAATTATATCTGAAGCATCTCACACTGATTTGGAATGAAGTGAGTGCTCTTGGATCAGGAAACCAAATCCTGTGGGAGAAAAAAGAAAACAATAAAGCTTTGTGATTCAAGAGACATAGAGAAAAAAGACAGCAGAAGTGTCCTGAATGATGGTATATCTCTGTGTCGTTTCCAGGTAACTTTATCCTGCAGGGCCCATATTCTGTGTTTGAAGGTGATACATTGGTTCTGAGATGCCAGAAAAGGGGGAAAGAGAAGCTGACTTCTGTGAAATACACTTGGAATGGAAAGACTCTTTCTCAGTCTTCTAAAAGTTGGGATCTTCTTATCCCACAAGCAAGTTCAAATAACAGTGGCTCTTACCAATGCATTGGATTTGTGGACAAAAAATATGTATTTAGATCAAATACCAAAGTTATTACAATTCAAGGTAAACCCTTCATTTTATGTAGATTTGCTTAGTAAAGTTGGAAAAATTGGGCATGTCAGGAGGAAATTCATTGGTTAATATTGAAACTCTGGATGGATGAGAGGCATAAGTCCTTTAGGAGGCAGAGAGAGTGGAGTGATTAGACTCGAATAAACTTGGGAAAGAAAAATGTGATAGAAGGCTTGATAAGTTTGTCTTGCAATGGGTCTAGGACTGAGAATCCAAACCTGTCTCTCTCAGAGTGCTAAATACTCACATGCTGAGAATTTGATTTACCTCTTCTCTCTAGAACTATTTCCACATCCAAAGCTGAAGGCCACAGCCTCTCAGCCTACAGAAGGGAATTCAGTAAACCTGAGCTGTGAAACGCAGCTTCCTCTTGAGCGGTCGGACACTCCACTTCACTTTATCTTCTTCAGAGATGACATGGTCATCCTGTCAGACTGGAGCAGGTCCCCAGAGTTCCAGATCCCAACCATATGGAGAGAAAACTCAGGATCATATCGATGTGGTGCTGAAACAGTGACCCACAGCGTCCGCAAGCACAGCCTCCCTCTACAGATCCACGTGCACAGTGAGTGTTGGAAAACCAGGCCAGCCCGGCAGGGCTGCAGCACCAGCCTACCTCAGTCTGCTCCTTCTGGCCCTGTGGGCATGAAGGAGCGATGCACTTTGTCATCCTGACAGAGGCACCAGGCTTAGACTGAAGAGTGAGGAACTGTAATAAAAGAAATACAGAATTTAATTTCTGCCTTCATTTCTCTAAAAACTCAGTCTCCTTTATAAACTCTGCCATCTTGAAGTGATAGAGCTGATTCATGGAGTTAGGTTTGAGAGGTGGAGAAAACAAAACAAAACAAGAAAACAAGGTGTCCTGCTAGTGAGTTAGATTCTAGAATGTCAAATCTTGCTACAAACTACAAAGACACTTCGAAAAGTTCATGGAGAGATTTGTGTTATTTTTTTAATTCTATTTTTTCCAGGAAATTTTCAAGGTACATTTGTATTTAGAAGACAAGCATTCACATCTCCTTAATCAATAGCAACAAACGATGTGAGTGCCTGTGAAAGGTACAGCAGAAGAGAAGTAGATATATACATATAAAGAGAAATACAATAAATATCAGCTTGTCTTAGGTACCAAAGAAGCACTTTGGGAAACAGGTGTGGTCTGGCCTAGTGCCGTGATGGCCACTATTGCCATTACCTATCCCTCAAAACAATTCAGACCACCAGCTAGGACATCAGACAAAACCCAAACGTGTCTTCAGGGATAGTCAATTTTTCTTTCCTGGCGCCTTGTGTTTCAGGGTAGAAACCTTATCACATTTAGTTATGTTCTAGGCCCCAAATCCACAGTCTATTGGTCACAATGCCAGTAACTACTGAAGAGTATATCTTTTTTTTTAATAATAAAAACAATTTTATATAAAATAGTGAAACATTTTTAAATGTCTTATAGCTCATATAGAGTTAGCAACATAAATCAAGCTGTCTATCTTTTTCCCCGAGTGTTTCAAACATTCAATGTCAGCAATATTGTCAGCAACCTGTGACTTCAAAGAAAAGTGAGCTTGGGATCTTGTTGAGTCAGGGGTAAAAGGAAATAATCTGATTAAAGAAGAGCTTGTAGAAAGACTAAATCTTCTAGAAGTAAATTTTGTTAAGTGGATACTACTTAGAGAAAATGTAGAAAATTGGTGATAATATTAGTTGCTGTCTATGGTTCCCAGTCCTTTGTTTTATTCTGCTCACTTTGAGGAGTTTGTCTAGAAGTCACATAAAACGTGATCCTGTCCAACACCCCAGCCCTGCCCTCCTCCACACCTGGCCCTGACCTGTCATCTCATTTCTACACAGGCATCCCTGTGTCTGGAGTGCTCATGGAAACCCAGCCCCCAGGAGGCCAGGTGGTTGAAGGGGAAATGCTGGTCCTTGTCTGCTCCGTGGCTGAAGGAACAGGGAGCACCATGTTCTCCTGGCACAGAGAAGACACAAAGGAGAGTCTGGGGAGGAAAACTCAGCGTTCCCAGAGAGCAGAGCTGGAGATCCCTGTCATCAGGGAGAGTGATGCCGGGGGATACTACTGTACAGCTGACAACAGCCACGGCCCTGTGCAGAGTGAGGTGGTGAACATCACCGTGAGAGGTGAGGTTTAATCACCATTGACCTTATTTTTCCTCAGTGAACTTATTAAAATTAGGGATGGGTATAGCCAACATTACCTTTGTGATTCTCTATCTTAGTCTGTCTTGTGTTGTTGTAATAGAATAACACAGACTGGGTAATTTATAAAGAAATTTATCTTACAGTTCTGGAGACTGGGAAGTCCAAGGTCAAGGAGCCACATCTTGTGAGAGCCGTCTTGCTGTGTCATGGTGGGAGGTATTGCATGGCGAGAAGCATTAGAGAGGGCAAGTAAAGGCAAGAGCAAGAGCCTACACCCAGAAACCCCTTTTAAAAGGCATTAAACCCACTTAATCACTTCTTAAAGGCCCCACCGCTTCATACTGTAACAATGACAAGTTTGAACACAAGTTTTGGAGGGAACAAAGATTCAAACCATAGCACTCTCCTTTTCCTGTTTTCATTCTGTCATCCTCCACTGTGGTAGACAGTTTCTTCCATTAGAGTACTAATAACTCAGTCAGGTCAGTGTAAGGTATAACAGTGAGGTGAGGCTGGCCAGGAGCCATTTTGCCTCTTGGAGGCAATTTTGAATGTCTGTGCTCTGATCAATTGTGCATTAATTTCAAAGAGCAGCCTTACCTCCTTAGCAGCATTTTAGGGTGGGGCACAGCTCTGCCACCCTAAATGTCAACTATATTTCTCCTTTCAAAAAATAATCCACACCACATCAGACCACTGCCCTCAAGTCCAACAAAACCAAAGGCATAAGGCTCCCCTTTACTTTGTAACTGCAGGCCCAGGGATTTTCGGTAACCAAATTGTATGCAGGTAAGGAAACTTACTAACACAAAGGGCAGGTAGAGAGCTCAGTTTTGTCCATAGAAGAGATGAGGCTTACCTTGGGATGCCACAATTCTAGCTCATGTCCTTCTCTTCCTCTGTCCCCAAGAAGCCACACTGGGCCAAGCCAGGTGCTTACTCAGCAACCTTGGCACTAAGGAAATGGTTTCTACTGGGCTTCAATGCCTCCTCTCATATCTAAGTTTCAATTGCATTTTCAGCTATCCAATAAACTTAGCTTTTATAGAGAAGCTACTAGAAAGCTAGATTTCTCTGCCTTCCCTTAACAATAGAACTCCTCAAAAGAATTATCTCTACTCACTCTCTTCTCTTCTCCCATTTTCTCTCAAACCCACCACCATTGGACTTGCCTTATTTCACCAAAATTACTTGTGTGAAGATCACTAATGATTTCCAGTGGGAAATTCTCAGTTTCCATTTTACTTGACCTATCTCCAGCTTTGACACAATTGATCTCTGCCTCCTTCTTGAGACATTTCCTCCTTGATTTCTGGGACACAGCTCTCTTGTTACTCTACCTATTCATCAGACACTCTCCTAGGTTTCCTTTCTAGATTCTCTTCATATTTCCAACCTCTAAATTTTGGCACTCTGTCCTCAGATTCCTCTGTCTCTGCCCACTCTCTAGGTCTCACCCAGTCTCTTATGACTTTAAGTGAACTCATAACTTCTATATATTTTTGATTCCCAAACATAACCTAAAGCCTAGACCTCTAGTCTGAACTCAAGACCAAAATACCCAAGTTTTTATTTTTTATTTTTTTAACTTGTAAGAATTCTTTTTTAATTTAATTCTATTTTATCAATATACAATGTGGTTGATTGTTGTGGTCCATTACTGACACCTCCCTCCCCGCCCCCCTCCCTCCCAAAAACCTCATACCTAAGTTTTTAAATCAAGCACTCCACAAGAATAGCTAATTACCATCTCAAACTTAACTCATCCAAAACCAAACTCTTGATTTTTGCCCCAAATAGGTTCCTGCTTAAAGCCGCCTCTCAATCATTGTAAAACTCCCTTCAGTTGCTCAGGCCAAAAATCTAAGCATCATTCTTGACCTTGTTTAAAAATTTCATCCTTTATATCCAATCCACCTGTAAGTCCTGATGACTCTACCCTCAAAATATAGCTAGAATCTGACTACTCACCACGTCCACTGCCACTCTCAGAATGAGAGCCAACATCCTCTCAATGACTCACCAGGCCCTGCATTATCTGGCCTACCTGTCACTCTGACCTCATCTCCTATCACTCTCTGTCCCGACCCGCGGGATATTCAACGCAGACCCTGGAGGGGGGAGTGGGAATGGGATGGAAGCAAGAGACACGAGAGATGGGAGACAAGACAGTATTCTGATCAAGTCTCGTTTATTGATTCTTAGGTTACATCTTATATAGGAAAAAGCAGGCATGCTGCAAAGGGTCTGGAATGTAAAGATATGATAATATCTTGAGGAGAGACAAAGACAGGACATTCAAAGTAAAGGTTGCCACCCAGAATGTTTATAGTTAAACAGTTTCTAGAGAAGGATAAAAGGTCACTTGCAAATTAACTTGCATAGCCAGGAGCAATCAGTTTCTGGCATAAAGATTTCGAGGCAGTTATCATGTAAAGCACAGCCATCTGAGCAGATTGTCACGTAGGAGTGGTCTCACAAGAAGGGGTGTGGAGCTTCAGGCCCCCAACAATTAGAAAGACTCACAGAACTCACTGAAGCTTATTATATGAATGGTTATACTTATTACAGAGAAAGGATACATTAAACATCAGCCAACGGAAGAAACACAAAGGGCAGAATCTGGGAGGAAGCTCAAAGCAAAGTTTCCTTCATTCTCAAGATGCATTATCCTCCTTCCATAGACTAAGACAATACACACAGAGTATTTCCAATCTGAGAAGCTCACCAGTATCCAAAGTGTCCCCAACAACTCTCCTCACACCTTCTCTACTTAAGCCATATTGGTCTTTTGTCTCTTCCTCAAACTTTCTAGGTATGCTCCCATCTCAGGGCCTTTGCACTGCTCTTCCCTGACATCCTCAGCTTACATCCTCACTTTCTTCAGAACTCTGCTCACCTTTTCAGTGAGTCCTTCCCCAACCACCCTTTGTAACATTGCAGCCCTTTACATCAGCTCTCTCCACCCGGTTCTGCTTGATTCTCCTTCCCCAGCACTTATCACCAACTGCCCTGCCATGTATGCCCTTGCTTGTTTGCCGCCTTTTCCCACTCCTCCCATATTAGCTTCATGATAGTGATTCTTGTTTTGACCACTATTGTATCTGAAGTGCATGGAATAATGCTTTACTCGGGCATTCAGTAAATATTCATTAAATAAACAAATTGTGCATACCTCATCTCTGCTGAGTGTGTAACAACCCTAGAAGATAGAGAAGATACTATCTTCATTCTAAAGAAAAGGAAACTGAAGCTCAGAGAAGGTTGATAATTTGCATAGGGTCACAGAACTCGCATGGCAGTCCAGATTTGAACTTCGATGCAATCATTTAGTTCAGAGAGACAGAGAGCAAGGTCAAAGTTCTCCAAAGTACCATACAGTCAATTACTTACCATCATCCATGCTAAATGCACAAGGAGCTGTGCTGTTTTTATGAGTGGTCAGCTCTTACAGAGCCATTAACTTGAACAGTTTAGTTAGAGACTCTGGGAAGTGGTTGCTGCACTAACAGCCCAGCTGCTGCTCAATTTTCCCTTCAATTCCCTCTAGGCAAGTCCTGTGAGCAAGGAGGCCCTCCCAGGTCTGGGGACTGAGATGTTTCCCAGAACCAGGTGCCACAGAAGGGTCTGCATTTTAGCCTGGGAATTGCTTGGGGAGCAGTGAGTGACATTGGCTCTTCCCAGCAGAAAAGGGCTAAGACTGAGCCAATGTCATTTCAATGGCATTTCAGTCAGCTGGGATAGGGGAAGAAGGAGTTAGCAAAGCTGAAAGCTGCCAAGAACATCCTCTGAAGACTCCTGAATGCCCTCAAAGTCAGAGTGACACTGAAGGTAGGGTGTAATGTTTCTCCAGGAAGCCTCTTGTACTGGAAAGTTTACCTTGAGGAGCCTAGAGGTTTTATCTCTGAGGAGGGTAATAGTGAATCTGTTGATAATTCACACAAGTGTAAATTACTCATCTTCCTTTTGGGAATTAGGTCATTAGAATGGATTAGTCTTCCTTGATCCAGGCAGTGAGCTGGTCATGTCACATGTGTAATTTCATTTTACTCTCACAACAGCCCTGCAAAACAGTACCATCATCTGTTAGGGAAAGAGATGATCTCAGAGATCAAACAGAAGTCAAGAATTCAGTTGATACATGATGAGGTGGGGATTTCTTCCTAAAGCTTTTTTATTCGTTGACTTTATGCAAAATCTCTATGCTTAGAAATGGGAGAATTTATATCAGGAGTGAAACTCTGCAGTAACCTCAAGCACTGGGCTAAGGTGGCTGTCTTGGTCAGCTTGGGTCATAACAAAATATCATAGACTGGGTGGCTCAAACAACAGAAATTTATTTTCTCACTTCACAGTTCTGGAAGCTGGAAGTCCGAGAGCAGGGCATGAACATGGTTGGGTTCTGGTGAGGGCTCTTTTTCTGGTTTGCAGAAGGCCCCTTCCTGGTGTCCTGACATGAAAGAAAGAGAGAGCAAGAGCAAGCTTTCTGGTCTCTCTTATTAGAAGGGCACTAGTTTCTGAAATTCTTCCTTGAAGATAGAGGGAGCTCTTTCCTGTGCCACTCCAGTCCTAGCCCACCCAGAGTTAGGTTTTCTGGCCATAACCTGACCCAAGGCATCCTCATGAGTCCTACTCCCTTCGATTCCTGTCTCTCCCAGGGCTCGGGATCCCAGCCAAGCCAAGGAAAGGTTCCAGGGTTTCATGGCAATCCCAGGTCCCAACCTCTCCTGCTGGTGCTCACATAGGTACTTTCTTTCCCCTTAGAGGCTCCAGGCAACAGACATGGCCTAATTGCTGTGGTAGCCACCGGGGGACTGCTCAGTCTTCTTCTCCTGGGTATGGCCCTGCTGTTTTACTGCTGGCGCTGGAGGAAACCAGGTGTGTGTTCTTCTCTTACCCCTGCTGGGGTCCCTGCCCTGTCCCTGCCTCAGACACCTCAGCTTATCACCAGCCTCAGTAGCCACTGCACCACCACCCACCACCTCACCACCCCCAACATGCACACATGCTCACACACATGCACTCTCACGCCTCTTTCTTTTTTTTTTTTTTAACCTGTAAAGGGATCGCAACCCTTGGCTCGGTGTTGTCCGCACCATGCTCAGCCAGTGAGTGCACTGGCCACCCCTATATAGGATCCAAACCCGTGGCCTCAGCGCTATCAGCACCACACTCTCCCGAGTGAGCCACGGGGCCGGCCCTCACGCCCCTTTCTTAATGGCAATTTCCCTAACAGATTCACCGGGTGACAGCTGCCTGTATCTAGACTGGTTTATTAAGTCTCAAGTGAAAGGTAGGGAGGTGAAATTTTTACTGTGAAGTTTCATAAACTTTATCTGAACTGTTTACTTGGACAGTTTCCTTGGTTCATACAGACTGGCCAACTAGACAGACACTTCAGTATATTCACCATTACTGGATATTCAAAATAAACTGGCAGGCTCTGAAGAAATGACTGGAATGGAAGTTGGCTAATTTCCATTCTTCTGCCTCCTCAGAGACTCCCCTGGGTCAAAGCTTGAACCTGCCACCTTATGCTCCAGCATTCCTGTTCTCCACAGCTCAGCCTCCCTACCTTCGGGAGAGGGTCTCTCACAGACACAGTCTGCCAAGTGCTTCCAAAGGCTTCTTGCCTCAGCCCAGGTCAGGCTAGTTTCAGATGCCAGAAAACCTGGTGTAGAAGATGGGTACAGAAACTTTTTTCAGTTCTAGAACAATTATCCATATCCTTCAACTCTGTCTCTTAATTCAATTCATTCAATTCAATTCAATTCAATTCAATTCTCCAGATACTTGCCAGCACCCTGTGTGTGTTCTGCTTTGGGATGGGTGTGGGGAACTTTGGACCTCCAACTACAAGTTTCCTTAGTATGCTTGAATCGGAGCCCAGGGTGTCCTCTGGGCATGGCTACGGGTGTTCCTCGAAGTCCAGCCACAGCTCACTACTCTACAAGTGGGACAAGTTGGTTATACCGTATTTAATATTTCCTGAGGTATATCAACACAGCCGTGAGCCATAATAAACTTTCAAATAATTGCATATCTAAACCAGGAATGTGTAGCCCTGACCCCAGCAAATTGTATATTTTGTTCAATTCTTTTTCACTCTTTTCATGAGAATCCAGAACTGGACCCATGTTTAAATTTACTTTCTTGATGACCTCTTTTAGGCAGTTCATGTGTGTAAAGTCTTTGAGAATGAGCTCCCTCTGCTGACACAAATGCACTGTTGCTTTATTTTGCAGGAGATTGTTTCAGGGCAGAGGAAACCAGGTGAGGCTTCAGCTTCTACAAGTGCTTTTTTTGTTTACCAAGTACACAATATGCAAAACTGTGGGGTTGCAAAATTAGGTCAAGTTATTTCCCTTTGACCCTGTGGTTAGATGCTCCTATTTTCACATTCCTCGAATGAATGTGAAAAATGAAGCTTCCTAGAACTGTTCTTGACAGCTTATAATTACTATTATAGATTTTGCATGTATTTAGATCACCTTTTTATCTGAAATTAATTTATTCATCTAAATGAGTGATACCAAAGGTTACAGATTTTCTGGGTTTCACAGAATATTTCTGGTACCAATAATCCTATAGTTAGAAAATGTGTTTCCATAACTTTATGTACAATGACCAGATTCTAGATTTTTCACAAATGTTCTAGATTTTCCAGGGAAGTCTAAGTTTCTCATAATCTTCTATTTACCCATGTGTATGTATCCTCATAGAGCCATGTGTTTAACTTTTGTTTGGAAGATATGGTCCTCTTCTTCTGTCTATGTCAGTGTCCCAGTCTTAGGTTATAGCCAGGGATTGGAGTGTGGATTATATAAGTCTAATTCCTTCTTGAATGGTCCAGAGATGACAATATGAAAATCTTTAGTCACTACTTCCTGAGTAGGAAGGTGATGATGAGGTCATTTTTTTAAACCAACCAAGAGTTACAATTCTATCTATGAGATGATTGTCACTATGATGTCAGAGACTCTCTGGCCTTGTTCCCAGTCTGCCCAAACCACAGCCCCAGGATTTCTTTCAAAAGAATAATCTGGGCTGGCTGATTGGCTCAGTTGGTTAGAGCACAGCCTTATAACACCAAGGTCAAGGGTTTGGATCCCTGTACCGGCCAGCCACAAAATGATAATAATAATCTGATTCTATATGTACCTAAGAAAGCTACAGTTAAAACATTCAGCGTTCCCAGTTCCCTATTGACTGTTGATTTCCCCCCCACCCCCTCCAATCCACTTTCTCCTCCACCTCTCTCCCTGGCCATCTCACTCTCATGCATGTTACAATGTTCCAGGGATTATCATGTGTTTCTATGTCTTACAGGTGCCCTCTTACCCCGGGCCCAGGAGAGTCCTGCCATCCTATCTGCCCTGTCCAGGGGGAGGTGCAGCTCTTGCATGGCACTGGTGAGGATTGCTGCTGGCCTCAGCCAGAGAAAGATAATATGCTTTGACCCTTGGTCTTCCTAAGGTGTCCCAAACCCAAGAAGAGTGGAAGGGATGCTTGGGAAGATACATCTGCAGCACATAACACTAACAGGGACAGCTTGGAACATGTTGTCTTTTTTTTCCAGTGCATCCCAAAGAGAAAGACTTGGTATATTCTGATATCCAGACTATTCAAGGGGAAGGTACGTCTCTGGAAAGAAATTCTAGCTATAAACTATATTTATTCATTCAATAAATATTTATTGAGCACCTCTGATGTGCTAGGTACTATTGTAAGTATGGAGAGTCAATGAACAAGGCAGACAAAAATCTCTACAGTGTGGAGCTTAGATTCTAAAGAGGGAAGATAGACACTGAAAAATGCATACTACATCTTTGCTGATGGTCAGAAGAAATATTAAGCATCCTTCTGATAGATATTGTGATCATGACATTGTATGTGCTAAGGTTGCCCTTAGGTCTGAATAAATGAATATTTGTAAAGTACCTACTACGTGGTAGGCATTATGCTGAGAACATTTATATGTAAATAAATTATATATAAATGTTCATATATAAATAAATTATATATACATCTTCATATATAAATAAATATATAAACAAATTATATATGTGTGTGTCTATATATAAACAAATTATATATAAATGTTCTCAGCATAATGAGATATATATCACGGTTCTCCATTTCTTTTATAAATCTGTATATGGCATCTCACTTGAAACCTAAAATCTCCAGTGTCTTTGTGCCAAGTAAGAATTTCAGCTGTAACCTAATGCTAAACCTGTTTTACAAATGAAGTACATAAGACTCAGAGAGGTCAAGAGCTTTCCCAATTTCACAAAGCTAGTAAAAAACAAAGCTAAGACCAAGTCCTCTCTCTTGCTATAATATTTGCTGTCCATATGGCCTATTATATATTTGAACAACATATATCACCTGATCACTTGCTTTCTCTGTCACTTTTCTCCCTCAGCCACCCTCACTAATCAGGACCCTGTGAATGGTAGAATTATAAAGGCCACCAACGTGCTTGGGTTGCTTGAGTGCACCTAATCTTATAGAGCTACTTGATCGTTTTGCCATTCTTCGCACTCTGTCCTTGACCTGTTTGTCAAAACACCATTTAAGCCAAGCACTCTGTTGATGGACTAGTTATATTTCAGGCACTTGATGTATTAATGATCTTCAGAAAGGTTTCTTTGCCTGTTCTTCAGGTTTGCATGAAGCCCCTGAAATCTTATGCAAAGTTCTGTGCATATGACCATTATTCTGGGGAAAGACTACACCCCTTTCATCATATCATTAAAAATATCTGTAATCCTTTAAAGCTCTATCATCAGAATACGATGAAACAGAGAGAAGCCTTGAGTGCCCCAGGGTGTATCTTCTTTTCAGGCTCTATCATCCATAAATTTACTATGTTGCTCTGACAAGTCTACATTTTTCTCTGAGACCCTTTATTTCTAATATGCATGGTCTGACTAACCATATTTGCTAAACTTTCCTCTCACTGTGACTTCATCTCTAAGAATCCATGGCAATAAAATCAAGTACTAGAACATGCTAATGTAAGACAGAGTTTTTCTCACAGGACACACATATGGAGAGCTCTAATGGGAACTTGCCAAATAATCTGGGGTGGGGAGATGGACATGCTGTATGTTCAAGAAGTAAGAATTGAAAGTAAGAGAACAATAATCTCTCAACATCTGGTAGAGGAAGGTGAGGTTTCTTAGTGTGGTATTCAGGGAGGACTTTGCAAATCAATGAAACTTGAGAAGAACTTGCGGAGGGCTGGGTTAAGAAGTGGTAAACAGAAAATCAAATGTATTGTAGGACGTGTTGGGAGTGGGGGTGAGGAAAACACAACAATTGATGGAAAGGGCCCAGTGGCTCCCAGACTCTGAAGAATAAGCCAGCAGACTAGGTTCTAAGTGTATCCTAATGCCCATAGTTCAGTGGTTCCCTTTCTCTCCACAGCCAATACCTCCAGGAAACCTCTAGAGGACAAGGTAAGTTTTATTTCCCCACTGTTTCCTCCCACTACTGTCTATATCCTCATACTCTCTCTTTCCAGTCTTCTTCTATCTTCTTTTCAACGCAGGATACCTCAATTGTCTACAGTGAGGTGAAGACGCAGCTCCCAGACACCTCAGCTGGAAAGGTCAGCTCTAAGGATGAAGACACCATGGAAATTTATGAGAATGTTCTACTCATATGACTTGTTCCTTATCTACAGCCTCAAGCCTGGTGTAGTCCTCAGGGTTCCTGGGGTGACCAAATAGTTCTAGCTTTCCAATTCTTCTCACCTATATACATTTACATCCAGGACTCCTAATTTATCCACTCTGAGTGTTGATGGGATGGCCTCTGAAAGACTTAGCTAAAATGATGGGGATCCACAGTATACCTGTATACCTGCTCTGGGCCTGACCTAATGTGTCACCTAGGGTCTAATTTAGGGAAGAGAATAAGGAGAAGGATTTCTTTTGAAAAATTAGAAGCACAAATTTTGATGAATCGGGATTTGCACAATGATAGAAAGGATTGAGGGAGCCACATCTCTGTTCAATACATTTACAATTCTCTCCCTGGAGAATCATGTGCATCCGTTTGTTTAACTGTGAGCATCTGCTAAGGTACTGCACAGAAAATGCATAGCCTCTCGTCTCTTGCCTACACAGTTTACACTGTCAGGACTTAGTTGCAGATGGAAGAATCCACCCCAAATGGTTTACAGGAAAAAGAATTTAAAAGAAAATTTTAAGTGCTTTACAAAATTATCAGAAGTGTGGGAGAAGCAGGCTGTAGACTGAGCTTCCAAAGGCAGAAAGTAATTATGTTAATGTCATTAGGGACAAAGACTTTTAGTGTTAGAGGAGAGACATGAATACAAAATTAAAAGTTACGTAACGACTCTGCAAGCCTAAATTTGAATTGAAAATGTCAGTATAAACTCATAATAAATTCTGCCTTTTAAAAAAAGATGCATATTTCCTAGGTCTGTTCTCTGAAAAGACCTAGAAATAATTACCAGTCCAATAGCAATGAGCACCCCTGGCCGAGTCTGTAGTCTCTAAATACCATTTTCTACTCAAAGGAAATAGGGCTGTCTTTCTTGTAGGAATTGTATCTTTGTTACCAAGTAGTTGATGTGAGAATAATTCTTCCAATAAGTAAAGAATTAATGAAAGAAATAGAAAACCACTGTTTTTTATGCGTGTTTCATGCTATACCTATTGGTTAAGTTAACATGAAAAAACTGACAGCCAAACATTATATTCCTCCTGATGGAAGAATACAATACCACCTACAAAGTATTCATAGCCCAAATATCAAAATTGAATCCAATCAAGTTTTTAGATCTAACTACCAGTTCATAGGAAATACATGGGACAAAAGAAGGTATTAAAAAACACCATGGGATTGCAATCAGCAAAATGCAAACTGTGGAAAAATTCGATAGGACCAGTGACCTGGTTTGTTCAGCAAATAAATGGCAAAAGAGCAAAATAAAAAGAAAGAAAAAAGAAAAAGAGAGAGAAAAACAGGGAAAGAGAGAGAAGAAAAGAAAAAAGAAAGAAAAAAAAAGCAAGAAAAGAGAAATGTAAGACCTATAAATGAAATGAGACTTGAGACATTTCAATGAAAAGGAACGGACAGGCCTTGTTTGGACCCTGACTCAAACAAATCACATTAAGAAAAAAATCACTTAAGGAATATTAAGGGAAATTTGTACACTTACATGAAGGTTTTTTTGTTTTGTTTTGTTTTTTGTCTTTTGTCTCTTTTTCCGTGTCCGGCAACGGATCGCAACCCTCAGTGTTGCCCCGCCACCGGGCCGGCCCCAACATTAAGGGTTTTTTTTAGCTATTTTTAGATATAAATTTTTAGATATAAATGATGTTATGATGTTTATGTTTTTATAAAAACAAATAAGGGAACTTGTTTTAGAGCTTATACTGAAGTATTAGATTAAATGTATTAGTGTAGGTAACATTAAGGGTTTTTTTTAGCTATTTTTAGATATAAATTTTTAGATATAAATGATATTATGATGTTTATGTTTTTATAAAAACAAATAAGGGAACTTGTTTTAGAGCTTATACTGAAGTATTAGATTAAATGTATTAGTGTAGGTTAAATGTGCATTAAACTAGTAGATTAAATGATATAATTTGGTTTGAAACATAGTCATGTGCTGCATAATGACATTCGGGTCAATGAGGGACCACATATACAACTGTGGTCCTATAAGATTATAATGGAGCTGAAAAATTCTATTGTCTAGTAATGTCATAGCCATGGTAATATTTTAGTGTAATGCATTACTCATGTGTTTTTAGTAAAGTTGGTGTAAACAGCAACTGTGCTGCTAGTCGTATGAAAGTATAGCCTGCGTGTGTAGTAGGCTATACCACCCAGGTTTGTGTAAGTACACTCTACGATGTTCGTAAAAGCATGAAATCACTTAAGGACGCATTTCTCAGAAGGTATCCCTGTCGTTTCGCGCCGCATGACTATAATCCAAGGAGGGGAGGGTGGGCAAGAAGTGGATAGGACTATAGATGAATCAGGATTGGTCGCATTTGCACCATTTTTGAAACTGGGTGATGGGCACATTGTGGGAAGAGAGGGGCTTATACTATCCCCCACTTTTGTGTATTTTAATTTTCCACAGTAAAGAGTTAAAATATCTATACCCAGAATACCGCCTCATTTCATCACCTCCAGGCTCTCACTCGCTGCTAGTCGTATGAAAGTATAGCCTGCATGTGTAGTAGGCTATACCACCAGGTTTGTGTAAGTACACTCTACGATGTTCGTAAAAGCATGAAATCACTTAAGGACGCATTTCTCAGAAGGTATCCCTGTCGTTTCGCGCCGCATGACTATAATCCAAGGAGGGGAGGGTGGGCAAGAAGTGGATAGGACTATAGATGAATCAGGATTGGTCGCATTTGCACCATTTTTGAAACTGGGTGATGGGCACATTGTCGGAAGAGAGGGGCTTATACTATCCCCCACTTTTGTGTATTTTAATTTTCCACAATAAAGAGTTAAAATATCTATACCCAGAATACCGCCTCATTTCATCACCTCCAGGCTCTCACTCTTGTCTGAGGCACCTCTTACTTCTGTTACAGTGGTGGCTATGTGTCTTTTTTCATTGTCTCTTTCCTCCCCACTGCCCTTTCTCAGCACTATGGTCACTGTGCTCAAAACCCTGCACTGACTCTTCATCCTCCTTACAGCAGAAGCCAGAGCCCTTAAGTGTCCATAAGGCTCTGGCTGACCAGTGTCCCTACTACCTCTCTCACCTCATCTCCTATTACTTTGCCCCTCATCACTTCACTGCAGACACTCTGCCTTCCTTGCTGCTTCCTGCACACGCCAGACGAGTGCCTGTTTAGGCCTTTGCACTGGCTGTTCCTCTCCTTAGGACGCTCTTTCTTCCAGACATCTGAAAAGGGTTCGATGTCTACCCTGAATCACATGTAAATATGCAAACTACTTTCCCCCATCTTCAGTAATCCAATGTCCCTTATTCTGCTCTACATTTTTCCCCATAGTACTTACCACTTTCAAACATAAAATTTTCAATCATAAAATTTTCTTATTTCTTATGCTGACAGTATATCACCCCTCTAGAAAGTCAGTTTCTTAAGGGCAACAACCTTTGTCTTTTTTGCTCACTAATATATCCTAAGTATGTAACAGGTGCCTAATAAATATTTTTGAATGAATAAATGATCTGTTTCAGTGAGGAAAATCATTGCATTCTCCATGACGAATGGGATCCAATGTCAGCAATCTAGTACCACATAGCAAACTGCCCCCCAAGGATCTGGCAGTGTATTAAAGACTCAAGTTCAGCCCCTGTGTCTGTCAGGTTGGGCACTTAGCAGTCATCAGAGCGGCCTTGGTGAGCAGATGCTTATGTAATGGAGCCCATCCACAACCTCTGCACCTTCTACTGATGCCACTTTGTACCTGAGCCCTTTGAGCAATCACAGGAATAACTGGAGAAAGAGGTTGCCTGACATTACCTAGAGGCAGTTTCTCACGTCCTCCTGATTACTAAGGTCCTCCTCTGTGGTAAGGCCTTGGGTGAGTATTCATATAAGACAGGAATAGTCTCATATTCTGGCTCCATTCAGCCAGGTCCACCAATAAGTATCTCCCCTAATATTTCAATTTTGTTCTTTCCAAACCCCTGACCATATGGCTCCAACCACTAGCCACTGCTCATGAATCAAAATAGATCCCCACCTCTGGGCATCTCATCATCCAGGCAAAGTGGACCATGGGGGTCATCCCTTTTCTTCAGGATCTTGTAGGGACTCCCCTGAGTGGGGGGCTACAGTGCTGCAATAGTCACCTCCAGCTGATGCTGACATACTTAAACTGGATAGACTTTTTTTTCCTGCTCTGTTAGCTGGTCATAGGGAAATCACCACTCTGCTGTAGTTGTTGGTTGAGAGAGGTGGGAGAAACAGCAGGAGGTGATCCAGTCATTGTTTATTCAACTTACTGTTGTTTTCAGGCCATTCTAGAGCCAGAGCCTGCAAATCACTTCCACTTAATGATGGAATAATCCTGGGCATGTATGATTTTTTGGTTTATGGATCAAACAACATCCAGTTTATGATGAACAGTTCTGGTCTCTGGTGTGCCACATTGCAGTGTTCAGTGACTACCATGACCCAATTCTACCCAAGAGATTTCACGCATACACAAAAAAGGTAGTTACTTAAAGAGGGCACAGCTTTGCTCCAAAACCCTAGGGCCTTTGACTGTGATTCTGCTGTCAAGGCTTGCTACAGACTTTACATAACATCCTGATCAGCCATGCACTTTGAAACCCTTTGGATATGCTGTATCATAAAAGCCAAGGACAGAGCCGATAGCACTGTAGCTTAGATAAGCTAAAGTGCTACCTTAGGGGACCACTCAAAGATGGTAGCTTTATGGGTGATTCAGTTATTGAGTCAGAACAGGGTAACCAAATATATGCCTATTGCTTCCAAGATCCCATCAAGGGTTGGGTTTCTATCCTAACAGAATGGAAGCAACAACTTAATTTACTTTGAAAGGACTATCCCAATATGTTGCAGAGGGTCAATTACACAGTAAAACCCAGAAGAGGAAGGATTAGATACTAATAAAAAATAAAGATTTTATTAATTTATAACATCAAAAACCTGGATATTTTGCTGA